GTCTCAAAATCCTTGGGAAAACTTTAAAATAAGACAACAGGTTGAAACCCCAGTAAAGCTGTACTGAACCTGAACCAGACAGGTAAACTGGAACTTAGGTTTTAAGTTTCTCTATTCTTAGCAATTTTAACTATCATTAGAATACCTCTATATTACTTCTTTTGATATTCCTATGTTAAAACAAGTCAGTTGTAAAGTTGTTAAGTTTCCACTTGTGATCAGTAAAGATAAATTTTATTAACTGCCCTTCTTAGTTTCCCAGATGATATTGGCTTTCAGTGCAATATACCTAAGTGACCTTGTTTTCTCCTTTGAAATAACAGATAGGGTTGAATTTGACACTCTTATGAGTGCATATTGTATTTCTAAACAGCAGCTGGAATGAAAAATTTTTATCTAAGTCAAAACTATTTCTTGATGGAAAACATTGAGCTATTTCATTAAAACAAGTATTCCATTTTTTAGTGCCTCTTAAAATATATAATCAATATGAGCTTCTATTAATTAAGAATCTTCTCTGTACATATTGTCATTATTACAATTTATGAGACAGGCACCCTTATTATGCTAGTTTTCCAGATGAGATAGCTGGGCTCAACACAGCAGAATAACTGGCTAACGTCATGTATCTCACTGATTCCAAAGCCTTTATGAATTTTCTCCACTTTTGAAAATAGTAGAAAAGTAGCCTTCAGCTGAAGATAAGGAAATTGTCCAGAATCATATGAAAATGGGTAGGGCTGCCTTAATGAGCAGTGAGTTCTGCTCCTGAAGATTAGAAGGGACAAAGGCACCTTGGCAAGAGGTATCGAAGGTTAGTTCTAAGGATTCTTCTACCACCAAGATTAAATGATTGTCTTAATGCGTCCTTTTTCTCATCAATAAAAAGAAGAAAATATTATTAATAGAAAACTTGTTGCTAAACTGAAAAATAGCATATTATTAGTAATTTATAAAGGAGGTCATTGTTTTCATTCCTTTCAAGCAAATAAAATAAACTGTTCTGTAAAATCCTCAATTAAAAAACTGAAATTAGTTTACCTTTTACACACATAGTATTTTCATGCTTTAAGTAATTATCAACCAAGCCCTAGTTCATTAACTACAGAGATACAGATAAAATTAAGAAATAGTAAGTAGTTGGCAATCATAGGTTAGATTCCAGTAGTAAAGAAAATCCATTCAGTCTGTGATCATTATTTATCTCAGTGCTTAAACAGTAACTGTAATTGTATTCTTTGAACACCAAGTTGCTGCCCCACCCCCACTCCATCCCATAGTTAATTAGCTGGGCAGGTCTTATAACAAATACCCACTCAGAAGCACTGGGTGGTAGAAATGCTGTTGATAATTAACACCACAATAGCATGGAGCCTGTTTCAGGAGCACAGAGTGGTCTCAACCCAGCTGGAATGCTTGCCACACACCCACAGACCCTCTATTGTGCTGGCTGTGACTGCTCCCTGGGACAGTTGCTTGGCTGGAGAAGGAACCAACTGCAATAGGACAGAAGTCCAAACTTTCAAAAGAGCAGGAGCGCAGAATTCAAGGGGGGATATATCCAGTGGGTGAAAGTGAAAGAGAAATGAGTGGACACTAGAAAAAGAGAAAGAGATGGGCAGGAAAATCAATCATAAAATAGATTTCTATTTTCTCAGCCCAACCAGCCAGCCAAAATGAGTTCATCAACCCCAAGCCAAATACTGATAAGAAAACTGCAATATTTAAATAATAGCCTGACCCATATGCCATTTGGTTTATAGAGAAGTTCAATAAGCTTCTAAAGGGTTTTAAGGATATCATGTCTAAGTAATCCCACCTTCCTGGGTTTCAGTTTCTTCATCTTTAAAATAAGGTGATTGAAACTGTTTCCACTCCTGGGTTGAAAAATAGGATGGGGTTCCCAGACATTTTCTGAAGAGTCAAAAGCCTACCCTGTCACTTTATTAGCCAAGATAAAATTACTAGCCAAGATAAAATCACTAAGGTGTAATACAATTATATTTCCTTGTTTCTGCTTGAAGTATATTAACTCAAGTTGATTTCTCATCTGAACAGATGCTTCTACTGGTATGCAATTAGGTCAGTAATAATAAGGAAAAGCATGATTACTTGATAAGTCAGCTGGTTTGGTAGCAAAAAAACAAAAAAAAACCACGCAAAAGACTATTTTATTCAGCTATAAAAAATCAATTGGAAAAATACATAAAGATTTGTTTGGTGAAATCGTTGGAAACCACTAGTTCAGTGACTGGCTCTCGCTCATTTGTGGAATTACCTCTGACAACAGAGTCAAGTGAGTTAGTGTCTCCCTCCACTGGGGGACCTGGGGCCTGGATCTGAAAAAAGGGAGGGATCACTGTATCATCTGTCTTTTTAAAAACTTTTCAAAGTTCGGCAAGATTTCCACTCTTCTCCAAAATAAATGTGTGTGTCTCTAATTCTAATAACATGCTTTCATTAAACCTGCATGTAGAATTGGAAAGTCCAGGAAGACCCAGATATTCATATCGTGGCTTCAGAGATGCCACTATATCTCCATCCACTTGTCATCACTATGAGATTATGTTGGAGTCTGTGTACCCCATTTTGAAGAACACAAGGGATATAAATAATTTTGAAAAATCTGGCTGTAAGTTTATAGAGCTTGCTTGTCAGTCTCTGAAGAGGCAAAATGCTCTACTACGCTTTATCTTTTACCACAACTCAAACTGCATTCAGTCTAAAACGTAAGAGGACAGGAAAGGTGCAGAAAGAAAGTGGGTCATGCTAGAGAAAGCAGGAAAAAAATGTCAGGGGAGCACAGCACAGCTCAAGAGAAGCTGTCCATCTGAAATGCCACCTGGAATTCACACCAGTAATAACTGCTATGGATATAAAAATTAATAGGGGGGATTTCATAGTATTAGAAAAATTTATTTTTATAAATCATATGTCTATCACACAAGTGTTGACACATGCATGCAATTCAAACATCAGGCTTACAATAAAAGGCTCACTGAATAATTTCACAAGGACAATCCCTCCATTTTCTCTGTAATTTGGAGAGGAAGGAGGAGGGGGTGGTGGGTAGAGGGTGCAGTTACTAGGTCAATTAATCAACCTGAAAACCGTGACACAAACTCTGACGCCTAACCTATGTCTAAAAATACACAAATGTATACGAATTTGTTTTAAACTGTCAATGCCTATATTTAGGACCTTCCCAGCAAGGCTATAATGAGACTGTGTTTGAGGGTTTCAGTCATAGCAGACTCTACCATTAATCTGAAGTTAGTTAAATTAACAGCATTTAGTACTGACTTGTCAATCTCACTACTCCAGGAAATTGCACCTTGAGGCTACTAATATTGCCAATTTTTCCACTGGAGAGTGTGTGTGTGTGTGTGTGTGTGTGTGTGTATTTTCTCCAAAATCTCCACGTTCATACACCATCATTACTTCCCTACATCCACAGCACTTATATTATCATTTATTCTGGCCTCCTTTAGCCTTCCCGGGGGGATTCTGCATAGTGTAGCTGCTCAGTGAAAGAGTTTTTTAGCTTTATATTTATTTGTTTATTTTTCTGTCATGGCTCATGACTGAGGCTTTAAAAAAAAAAAGTGTGACAGTATTTAGAGTACATGATTGACTGCTACAGCCACATTCATTAACCATGACAAATCTGTAGCAAAACACAGTCCTGAGTGTTCTAAACAGAAACCTTAAAAAGAAAGAAAAAAAGGGGAAAAAAAGTCCACTAATTTTTCATTGACCTCACTGGTAAATAAATTTAGACTGATGGTGCGCAGGGGCAATAATAAATTAGAATTCATTTCCTGTAATTAATGCAAACATGCCTATGAACACAGAGAATATGAATATGTAACCACCTAATTTACATTTCAAAATACACCTAACCATATTTTCACTGCAGTTATCTTCATAATATTTTCCCCCTTAATTAGCAGAATGAAATGGATGAATTTCTTTCCCACCTTCCAACGGGAGATATTGTTTAAGTCACAGGGACTAGCAAACATTTCAGCAACAAATCTATAGACCTTAATTCTGATTTTTTTCACTATTTATGTGATCCTCAACCATATTTCTATCAGGAAGATTTCTCCCTTACCACTGACCATGAGGGACACCTCCTGAAGTGTGATCCCAGGTGATCCCACATACCCTCAACATGCTTAAGAGCCATCAATAGACTGAAGAAGCACAAGAATAGGAAAATTCTATCATTGAAATATTCAATCACACAAGAGTGGGTTAGATAAAGGAGGTGCATAAATCAACTGAAGATTATTACGCGTTAAGTAAAACATAAATGCCAAGTTCTATAGCCTCTTTTAGCAGGAGGAGCTGGTCAAACTGGCCCCCTTGGGCATAACACCTCTGGAAAAATCCTATAACCAGACCACAATTAAAGGTGATAACACTCAAGTGTTTCAGCTATCAGAACTCGCAAACTCAACTGTGGCATCCATTGCACAATACTTTGTTAGGAATAAATAAATCAACAATAACAAAACTATACCTCTAAAAACACACATACAAAATATTCTGTATCCCTGGAAGAATGTGACAAGAACATAGAATCTGTATCAGCTTCTTCCAAAAACCAAAACAGAAACAAACAACTTTGGCAAAATGCAACTTGCCTCCTGAGGAGACTTTTCAAGCTCTACAAAGCTTTTGCCCCTATGTGTTTGTGCCTCTAAATGTCCTGGGAAAAAATCTGTACAAATATAATTACCTGTAGTAATTGGAATGTATGTGACAGGAGGGCTGAAGAGCAATTGAGAATATCCTAATTTGATGAATTTGTCACTCAGTCTGATTGGAAATGTCATCAAATAGATCTTTTAATAATGATAATTCATAATGAATACTGACCCCACTTTATCCTGGACTTTTAAAAGAAACCCTTGTAGACTGTAAGGTATAGCCTGCCAATGCAGTTGTATCTTCCCAGAAAAAGAGGAGTTATCCTATTTCTTCCCCTTCAGTTGTCAGCTTGGAAAGCCGAGCAATGCACCTCCACGCACTGGTCCAGGAGGCCCAGGACAGGGTGAGTGAACTGTCTGCCCAGGTGGAGAATGAAGGATTCACTCTGGACAATACAGAGAAAGAGAAACAGCTGAAAGCTTGGGAGTGGAGGTATCGGCTCTACAGACGCATGAAAACAGGCTTCGAACACGCCAGTGAGTATATTCAGAAGGCTTCTACATTTAACTAGACTGAGCTTTGGTTTGAAACAGGCAAGCCTTCTTTTACAGACTTTTTTTTTTCGCCGTACAGGGTCATGGATGGCTGTTGTCAGACTATTTAGAGCAAGGGCTCAGAGAAATCCTAAAAGGGTCTTTTGTCTTGTTTGATTTTCTGGCTCTTGATAGGTTCTCTGCCCATAGCTATGAGACCTCGGCGCCTCTGGCCTCCCTCCACCATGTCACACTCATCTAGCACTTTCTACCCGCTACACCCTAATGTCTAATGACATGAATGGTCTGATGCACTAAGTGGCTGTATTTTGGAATGTGGAGGTAGAAAAATATTTGTTTACCTGTTTGTCTAGTTTCTGCTGCAAGCTCAAGTTTAAGCTGTTTTCAACTCTCTACAGCTCTTTTTATATAGAGCTGAAAACTGAACTTCAATTAATGCAAGCAACAGAGAAGACAGTCAATCAAACCTGCCTGTGAATTATGCATTTTATTGCAGTCTCTCTCTCTTTACCAATTCTTCCGGTTAATTTAAGGAAACCCTTTTTGGATAATGATCATCAGCAACAAAAAGTACTGCTTAGTGCAGCCACTAATATAAAAGCAAAATATATAGCTCAAACACTTGTGAAATATTAACCTCTCATTCTAGAAGCTTTATTTAAATAATAAAAACCTTCAACTTGAAATTTAAACACAAGTGAAAAGTCAGTTCATTCAACTGAAGTTCTCTGTTTTTGCCTAGAGAATCTTCAAATGAACAAACTAAACCTTACACAGAAAAAGACTAAAGGAATGAAAATATTTTCTTAGGTAGCACTGTACACTGATGTCAAATGTAGGCCTAACCTTTTCACTGAAACAAATAACTCAAATAATATTAATCAAAGGTTACTTTCAACACTAACAATCTCAGCAGTGCTGGTATATGGATTTTTACAAAGATTCAGAAATTGCATTAAAAAGTGCATTTGCTACTGGGCCATGCTGAGGGCAGATTAACACTAGAAAGAGACATGTTTTTAGACTTGATGTCAGATTTCATAATTTTCTAAGTTACAAAACATTTTCTGAATGCTAAAAACCATCATCAGTCTGTTGAAGCCAGAAGTTGGTAGACAAGACATACGTCTCCAATTTTGCTTAGAAACACTACCTGAAGTAAGAAGTAGCAAACCAAGAACAAAGTGGGTTAGAATTTTATCTTGGACAAGGCCTGGGATCAGGCATCTAACACCATGGGCTTTCAGCCCACTGTGTGTTCACCACATTCTGAGCTAGGAATTTGGTCTCTTTAGCCCTATTTCCGCATCCCAAAAGTGAGGGTATTATTTGTAATCTTTTCCCCCAGCAGAGCTATAGAATGTCTCCATGATACAATTTGTGTCAAAGTATCTGATGAACCGTACGTAAACAGAAGGTTGCTGTCACTTTCTCCCCCATCCTTGCTGGCCAAGTCACATCTCCTACTGTGTTACCAGGGCAATTTGGGAAGATTTCACTGGTATTCTTTGCCCCTTCAGAAGATGTTCTAATAAGCCAGACACATAAGCTTAAATATCACATGGATTCTCTTCTATGAGAAACCTAAAATATAAATAAAAAGCACAATAAAAGATAAATAAGAAGCCGAATGACAGATGTTTCTCAAAGAGGGAGGGGGATCACCAGATAGAGAAGGAGGGCAAAGGGGAGGGAAAAGGAATGAAAAAAGGAGCGAAGACGTGTTCTGCACCTGCACCAACTCTATAAAAAATGTAAATGTTATGCCCTGCAAACAGGTACTAATAAAAAAAGAATTTAATAAAAACAGACCACAGTGGCAACAAATGAAAGGCATTGAGACTTCTAATAAAAATATTCAAAAGCAAAAGCTATCAGGCTTTACAATGTTTCCATACTGTATGTCTCCAGATATTCTGGGAAGAGTCAGGAGCACTGGTTGAACGGATTTGCTAAGCGAAGATCTTTGTGCTTTTTCTTCTGTCCCAGGAGCCCCTGAGGTGCCAACCAATGCCTGTCTCATGGTAACCAGCAGCGTGTCTCTCACTGTCAGCTTCCAAGAGCCTCTCAGTGCCAATGCAGCTGTAGTGACCAGGTATAAAGGTACTGCACTCCCAATATCTTCTCCCCACTCCTGCATAGACAGAAATCTGTGGCATAAAGACTAGTTATGCATTTTGTGCATTTGGGATTCCTATTGATAGGATCATTTTTATCCCATTTACTTTCACAGCTGAAATACTAAAGTAAGCACACATGTGAAGGAGCAATAAGGTGACTGAGAATGTCACGGAAAGGATGAACCACAAGACCAGGCTGTCCGTCCAAACTTCTCAGTGAATGTGCCATTCATGTTTGCAGAGTGTCTGCTTTGTGCAGAGCACAGGGTTTGGATATGGAACATACTGAAAAATCAGACCCGATCCAAGGAGCTGAAAGGCTGGAATGTGGAACATAAATAGGGGGCATAGAAATCGAAGACTGTAATACCAGGTGAAGCACGCTGGGGTCAGGAAAGACCAAGGGGGTGGTAAAATAGTAGTGGGACCTGTAAAGGCTCCAGGTTAGAGGTGGCATTCAGGTCTGACTTTGAAGGATGGTCAGAATTTGGACTGGAAGATATTGGTGGAGAGTAGTAAATTCCAAATGGAGAGAACAATGAGCATTGGTATAAAAGCACAGGGACCAGAGGACATGAACAGAGCACAGCTATGTAACCTTTCCACTTATCCGGGCTGCACTGAGGGAAGAGGAATTGTCTTGGGCCACATACAAAACACATAATATCATTGATGTATATAAAAACAAAGCTTCTTTTTTATATATATTTTTGTTTTATAATAACATAAAAAAACACAAACCCAAGTTCAACAATTTAAAAAGAAAACTTACATGTCTGCTTATTAACAACAAACACCTGTCCTCACAGGAATGCATACAGGTGTATGTGGGTTAAAATAACTATCATCAATAATCACTGCATTTTCATTGCTGAGTCACACAAGTGCATGCAATGTCTGATGCACATGGGTTTTGCTTCCATCGCCTGTGTGTGGTTGGCTCATGAGGCAGAGTTAGCACTGAACCTTACCTTCCCCCTCACAGCTTCCACTGTCTCATACATAGTCTACCTTTCAGCACCATACAGTCAAGTGATAAAAAACTGAAATAACTACAAATCACATCACAATGTGGAAGGTTTATGATCTTGCAGAGCTGTTATTAGCTGTCCAGGGCTGTATGTCGGATACACCTGATGTAAAAGAAACTGAAACCAGCATTAATTCTAGAGAAGCAGTTTCAGCAGTGAAAGGTACAGAGAGTAAACCTAGGATCCATGGGTGGGGTTCTGTGGTGCTGGCAGTTAAGGTCTAGGACTTCACACTTTAAGTGATGAGTTCTGTAGCACTTTTAAGTAAGACAGGTACAAAATGGCTAGCAGAGTTCTGAAAGTTGGAAGTGTCCATACTGTACATGATACACTGCGAGAGATATGGATTTAGAATAAAGAAAGCTCTTCAGGAGAGGTTGTGACTGCCCGAGCTGGCTACTGTGGCAGCACTGGGAGAGTACAGGAAAAGCCCAGAAGGAGAGATCTACAGCCAATGCATACGTGGCACCTACTGTGTAAGCTTAAGCCTACATGTGTGAACTCTAGTAAGTCCTCACTGCTACTTCAGGAAGTAGGGTCTGTTTAGTTTCCACTTTACAGATGAAAAAAGGGAATGAAGGGCTGAAGCATCTGCCTAGAGGATCATAGCAGAACCAGAGCCATGCCATTCTGTTGACTCTTGAACATAAAGGACAAAAAAGAATATGATCTAGTTCAGTGATTCACAAGGACATGCAGAATGACACTGACCATCCCTGAAGCCTAACAGTTTTCCATAGGTAAACTTACAAATTCCAGTATTGTTCCCTCTGCCTGCAATAATGCTCACACACAGAGTATGTCTTCCTTTCTCGCTACACAAGGACCTTGTATGTCTACAAACTGAACTGCTTGTCACTAGGTTACCTGTATCAATCCAAGAGAAGGCAGCCCTAAGACATTAACATCAGCACAGTGATGAAGTCACCCAGGTAACCTCTCATGGCCAACCTTTACAATGGTTCTAATGCTTTCTCTTGGTGGTGTAGTCTGTCAAGATTGACATTCACAGCAACTTCTGCGAGCAGTGGTAGACATAGTCATTTTCCTTTTTCCTACCTCTTTCTAGCTCAGGATTGTGACAAAGGGTTTCATCAGTGCTGTCCAAATTGACATTCCCTTCTTATATTTGAGTAATGAGTTATATCAGAAGCTAATTTATACAGACTTCCAACTATTTAATATTTGACCATAATGCCAGCAAATTCTATCAGTGTTCACATTTCAACATGTCTCATCTCAAGAGACTTGCATTTGGGTAGAGTTGAAACAAAAGGTCACAAATGGGTTCTGTTGGTGACTGGAGAAGATTAATTATTATAAATAGAATTGTCTGTTACATTATGGAATAGGTTTCCTTGTGATAATTTATAAGGACATAAATTGAGTTCTTAACCTGACCACTCTCAGGGTTTATTTAAACCAGCTGTCAGCCCACTGTACCCACAGAGACAGCAAGTCAGCTTTTAATTCAGGGGTTAAAGTAATTATTTAATTGTGGAAATATTAGCAAAATTACCCTGAGACAAGGCTAATTATATTGTTTGCTTTCAAAAAAAGAAAGAATTGAGAAATCCACAGAATGAAATAGCAATTATCTGATTGGTTGGAGGAAAAGATCCTGTTGTATTTAGGGTTTGGCAAAAATGCCTCCTCTCCAGAATTTCTGGGTTCAGTGAAACCTCAAGCCTATTTTGACAACTGTTTTCCCACTTCATGCTTAAGCCAGTGTATTTTGGGAGAAAAATGTGAATCTTTCTGTTTTCCAGATGTTTATACTCAATTCACCCAACATGTTTTCTAAGTTTATTGATACACAGAAATCCTTTTCAAAGTATCTCTTTATATACCTTCTTCACACTCTAGCATCATACGCCACACAAATCATCAGCACAGCTAGAGATTTAAGGCTTTAGTTATAGCTTATGACCCAGGAAACTGTTTTCAGTGAAATCCACTACAATGTTCTGTCTGCATTTACCCTGAATAGGAGGGCAAGGGGTGTTTCTAGGTGTTTCCTCCTTGGACCCAAAGATCCCTTGCATCTTTCCATTGCATCTCTCCAACTGCCACAGTTTACCAAGAAAAGCTAGTTATTTCAGTTGCTTTGATGCTTTGGACTTTTTCCAGAACTTAGTTACACATTTTCTCCACATAGCCTTGGGTAACCTGCCTGAATCTCTCATTTCAAGATTATGTGTTATTTTTCTTCAGGACCAAGCAGAAAAAATTCTAAAAGGTGCTTTTACTGCTCTTTTACAGGGTTAGGGAGTGGGTAGGAACACATCTTGTTACAGGTTCAGTGCAGCATTTGTCTTTCATTCAAAGGATAAAATATTTTATACTTTTTTTTAAAAGTGAGCCTTACAATCGTGATGCCTTTAAGATTTACTAAGTGTGAGAAGCTGCAGTAGTTTCTGCTGTGCTTCCTAAGTGGTACCCTATTTTTGGACATACCTTTCCCTGTCTCTCTTCCCACCTGCTCCCTAGCAGACTAGAATCCATGACCCTAGTTCTTTGCTATGAAAGCCTTGCCAGAACACACCATTTATCTGCCCTTCATTTTATCTCATTTTTTAAAATACAAAAGCATTTCTGCTTGCAGAGATTGCTTATGCCTTTGGGGAGCTGATAGTGTTCCTACCACCATCTCTAGGTTCTTAGAAAAAGAAGAGCCCAGAGAATTCCAGAAAGATGCCCTGGGGTATTTCAGCTTCCAGAAGGGACAGTCCACCATTTACAAAAAAACCTTCAGGGTCATTCATTTATAATGAGTGTCAGCCATGTTTCCACAAGACTTTTAAAAACCCTGACTTCACAGTGGGTGGGTTCACATTGCTCAGTGATTTATATTCTTTTTACCCCTATTTTTCTCACCTATACTTTGTACTTGCAAAGATACTTGTCTACCAAGAAAATGCATTGCATTACATAACATTTTTTCAAGTTCAAGTATTTGAAGAACTGTTCTAATCATAAGTATAAAGTAGCTAGCCACATCAGTAGGTTAAAGTGACATAATTTAATAAAGCAACTTATAATTTTATTAGCCTGTCTGAGTTTGGAGAGAGAGAGAGATAAACCCAAAGTTTTGCAGACAATAGCAACAAAGAGAAGCAGAAAACGTTATGTCCAGAGAACCAAAAACTCAGTGGATTAACATTTTTTGCACATGGGTGAAAATGTGAAAGTGAGTTAAGCAATGAAACATATGAAGAAAGGGAAACAGTGGGTCCAGTGAAAACAAGAGCTTGGGGAAAGTACAGAGCAGCACTGTGCAGGAGTCACTGCGTCTAAGCTGCTAAGACTTCTCGTTTCCGCTATAAGTTGCTGAGTTGTCAGAATTCAGCCAATTTATTCTCCAACAATACCGTGAACTACCTTGGGACCTGTTTTTTCAGTACCTTATGTGGTAAAAGTGACTACTTGTTTTCATCTTTTGAAACAATTACAGCCCTTTAACAGTTCAGAGTTATATAAAAGAAAAAGTCAAAGTTCTCCTGCGTCCTTCTCCAATCTCACATCCCTATCCCGAAGTTCATCTCTGTGGAGTGTGACGTCCTTCAGGCCTTGATGCACAGGCACCATATATATACAGTCATAATGCAAACACATAAAGAGTAACATTGCAGCCAGCAACTGACCACATATGCTATAGTGATCCCAAAGTTGGGGATGCAGCTATCCCAGTTGACAGAAGGATACTCTATGATATCTGTTTGCACAATCATTAAATTGCCCAAAAATGTATTTTGCAGAACATATCTCCATGGTTAAGGAATTATAAAGACTGTAAACAGAAAGATCATAGTTTTGTGTGCTCTAGTACAAACATTGTCACTCTGTGTTAATCAGCTTGCCATCTCTGTGACAAAATAACTGAAAGAACCAAATTAAAATGATTTAAAACCCCAAGATTTGGGTTCATGGTTCCAGAGGTTTCAGTCTGTTT